GGTCGTTTCGGATGCTACTGAGAACCAACATGCGAGCATGCTGAACACGCACCGTCTCCCTAAGGCGCAACCAACTTGGGCGCAAGCTTCGGCGCAAGCGGAGGCCGGTCCTTGCCGGCCGAGAAACATGCGCGCGCGCCCTAACGCGGCTGCACCGCGGGGGCCTCTGGCGACGCGACGCGCGGCGGGTCGACGGCGGCCGCTGGCGGCGACCTGCCAGCAGCCAGTGGTGGCCGGCAGCCAGCGGCGGCCGCCAGCAGCCAGCGGCATCGGGTCCCTGGGCGTCAGGGCAAGGGCAACGGCGCACGGGCAAAGAGCGATCGCACGTGGCAGCCAGGCCCCCGCGTCTGGCGCCTCGTCCCCGGCGTCTGGCGCCTCTGGTCTGGTCTGGTCTGGTCTGGTCCGATCTGGTTTGGTCTCTGGCGACAGGAGCCGAAGCAGACAGAAGAGCACAGTGCCGCTGCCATTTGAGGCCCAGCGAACTTTGCCAGCGAGACCAGCCCCAGTGTGGCGACTACTGGGGGGTTTACCGTACTGAGTTGAATAACATTCATATTCACATCCGTTCCCAGCGGAGGGCACGAAATGTCACTTGGAATTCCCCCGCTTGGACTCCTCCTGAGGCCCCCATTAGGCCGTTTTGGGTGCCTTTTGGACGGTCTTGGGGCTCTCTTTTTTGTTTTTCTTCGCGGCGGTGGGAGGGCGGCCATGCGGCCCTAGAAAACAGGAACAATGCCCCTGCGAATGTTCAGTACGAGATTGCCTGATAGTTGCCGTGCACTGTCAACAACTGAGGCCCGTAGAGGCGCCACGAGGGCAGGGCAAGAAAATCAATTGCTCCAGACACCCTCTGGCGCGCCCATCAGTGCAGCGTAGAGAGGCCTGCCGACGTGCGCCACCAGATCCACAGGCGGCACTTGGCTGGACAACTGAGGGTCGCAGGCCTCGAACGGCGAGCCCACTGGAAAATCCAGCTTGTGAAGTGCCGATGGCAGATCAGACTGGCAAAAGCTGGTCGAAACAAATCGTCAGGGAGGAAGAGGAGGAGGAGGGGGAGGAGGAGGAGGAGGAGGAGGAGGAGGAGGGTAGGAGGAGGAGGAGGAGGAGGAGGAGGAGGAGGAGGAGGAGGAGGAGGAGGAGGAGGAGGAGGAGAGGAGGAGAGGAGGAGGAGGAGGAGGAGGAGGAGGAGGAGGGGGAAGGGGGAGGAGGGAGGAGGAGGAGGAGGAGGAGGAGGAGGAGGAGGAGGGAGGAGAGAGGAGGAGGAGGAGGAGGAGGGGAGGAGGGAGGAGGAGGGGGGGGAGGGGGACCATCTGCCGAGCCGCAGTGCGACCAACAAGGCGGGCCGTCGCTGCCTCGACTCTCGCCCCCTCTGCCGGCCTCGGGGCTCCCTTGGGACGTCCTAAGGGCTCTCTTGGAGGCCTCTTTTGGGCCGTCTTGGGGCGGTCCGTGGGGCATCCTGGGCCGCTCAGGATGCTGTTGAAAGCCAGGGTGACCGCGCGGTGACTCCTCCTCCTCCTCCTCCTCCCTCCTCCCTCCTCCTCCTCCTCCTCCTCCTCCTCCTCCTCCTCCTCCTCCTCCTCCTCCTCCCTCCTCCTCCACAATTACTCAATATGAAAATACTCTCCCTCTTCCCCTGATGGCGTCCGGGTGATGGCCGCGCACCCTCCGCGTACTGTTTTTTAACACACAGGATTCCGGGAAATCCCGGGAAACGACTCTCGCTGAGGCGCCGGCGTCATTTTTTCCCAAAATGCTGCTCTCGTTGAGGCGCCGGCCTCATTTCTGCTCCCGAATCGTTCCGAATCGTGCTCCCGCTGCAGCGTGGGCCTCATTTTCGGATCGGTGTTTGGCCTCCGTCGTTCAGGATGGCGTTCTCGCCCCAGCGCGGGCCTTTTTCTCGCGCGCCCATCCGCCCGCCACCACCGCGCCGCACCGCCACCACCACCACCACCACCACCACCACCACCACCACCACCACACCACCACCAGCACCACCAACACCACCACCACCAGCACCACCACCACCACCACCACCACCACCACCACCCACCACCACCACCACCACCACCACCACCACCACCACCACCACCACCACCACCACCACCACACACCACGCACACACGCACGCACGCACGCACGTGCACCACCACCCACTACGCACGCGCGCGCGGAGCCACAGGTCCGCTACGACACGCGTCCGCGGATAGAGAAAATCAGCGCCATGGTAAGGGATGGGAGGGAGGGGTAGGACGTCAGATATGACGCGAGCGCACCTAGCTTGTCCTCCTCCTCCTGCTCCTCCCTCCCTCCCTCCCTCCCTCCCTCCCTCCATCCGAATGTGCCAAACATGCACCGCTTCCCGCAGGGGGCAGTTTTGGCCTCCCGGGGCCCTCTCGGGGAGCATCTTGGAGCTTTCGACGTCTTCGGGCCTTCTTGCGCCGTCATGGAACAACTCCACGTCGGGCTCGGGCTCGACGCCTGCCCGCCGAACTTCGGGAGCGGCCAAGAGGGGGGTGTCCAAGAGGGGGGGGTGCAAATCATGACCGGCGGCATGTGCGCGGCCCAGCGGGGGGGCCAGGGACGCGATGAAATAAGAAGAGGCGCCATGAAATCTGGGGAGATATCATGGCCCCCGCCATGATATCCCCCCCCCCGAGTCATCACCCCCCTCTTTTCCGCCCCCGAGAACTGGCGCGACCGGCTTGGGCGCAAAGCTTCGGCGCAGGCGGAGGCCGGTCCTTGCCGACCGAGAAACATGCGCGCGCCCATACGCTGCTGCACGGCGGGGGCCTCTGCGACGCGACGGGTCGACGGCTGCCGCCGGCGGCGGCCGCGGCAGGCAGGGGCCAGCAGCCAGTGGCGGCCAGCAGCCAGTGGCGGCCAGCAGCCAGCGGCGGCCGCCAGCACCCAGCGGCATCGGGTGTCCCTGGGCGTCAGGGCAACGAGCGATCGCATGTTGCAGCCAGGCCCCCGCGTCTGGCGCCTCGTCCCCCGCGGGCGCCCCGCCAAGCGGGCGGGTGTCCCGCCCGCGGTCCCCATTGGTGCCAAGGGTCGGGCCAGGTCGGCTATGGAGTGCCAAGGATGTCACTGCGCGCGTTTCTCGCGCGTGCGCGATCAAATTACATCTCCCTTGAGCCAAAATGCTTACGGAAGATTGACTTCGTGCAAATTGAAATGAGATGGCTGGCGCGTGGACGTTACGTATAGCAAGACGCAGTACGCATATGCTGTTCATGACGCACCTTTCACGTTGAGGAATAACGGGCGTTGCCTGCGCAAGTGTGTGAACTGTGGATGAGGCTGGTCGACCTGAAGTACTCGCAAACCGCCACGCACTCATGTTGGTCGCTATGTTATACGTCAGGTGGCCTGAGATTAAGCCTGAGCCCAGACCTCGCGAGGAAGCAGCCAATGAAGCCGCTGTGTACAGCATGTGTTGTTTGGTGGGGCGGCAAGCCCTCGGCTTGAGAAGCAGGACGTGACTACCTAGCAGTGGGCAGCAACTGGGATCAGCCATGGCACGCGTTTTCTTGCGCAGACGAGGGGCCTCGGGTCCGCGAGCAGGAAGCTGGAGAAGGGCCGTGGTACATTACAGCAAGTTCGCGCTCCCGAGGCTACAGCACCTGGCAATTTACACCACGATTCGCGCTTCGGAAAGCCACCAGCACTCGCAAATCCGCAGGGGGGCCACCAGGCTGCGTGGGCAAGGGGGCAAGGCTTTCCTGCGCCCTGTTGCAGGTCCAATTTCAAGTCCCAACTGTTATAGCAATTACTCATTCGCGTTCGCGGGGCGGCCTGGAGGCCCCCCGGAAGAACGCACCCCGGGCAGGTCCTGGCAACTCCTCGGCAAGGTCCTGGTAAGGTCGGTTCAAACATGCTAGAACTCCCAGGAGTGTGCACCAGGACTCCCGGATTCACGCAATATTCACTTTTCAAACAAGCAGGGGCCGAGTAAAGACGCGAGCATCGAGACGGCATATGACGCGCATGCGCTACGCACCGCCACAGTCAAGTGAACCATTTCGCATGGCCATCCTCCTACATGGCCATCATCCTACATGGCCACACCATGGCCTCCCTGCGCGGCATGTCTGTAAACTCGCACTCTTTGATCTCGCATGAACCTGCAACGGGCTACATGTGCCCCCTAGAAGGGCCTAGCCGGCACCGTGAACTTATACATCCGTGCTTAGCACAACGTGAGCGGAATGCAGATCTGAGCACGAACAATGTGCTCACGCCCTCGCGGCAAACATGACCCAGCAGACTCGAAACGAATGATGTACTGAAACTTGTCTTCAGAGGGCGTCGCACGATGCACTCTCATGACCTTCCACGACGAACCTCCATCAGCCACATATCCTGACTAATCTGAATATGCTGTAGTGCGGATGCGCCCAAGGAGCGAAGCAGAGACGAGGGGACCGCAAGGATGAACACTAGGACAGCGACCCGCAGTTACAACTTCTCCTCGATGCGACGTTGGACGCAAGAAGAAACGGGCGCAAGACTGGACCACCAGCGGGGCCCGGGACACCAACCAATAAACTTAAAACAAAACTTTCCTGGCCAAAGACCCAACCATCTGCAGTTGTCTGTACCGTGTTGTGAATATCGCGCTCGGTGGGGCTCCCTTTGGGGCCACGATGCGTGTGAGCGGTGTGCCAAGTGGGCACGGTGGTGCCATGCGAACGCAGACACTGTGGCCTTCGGTGGAGCTCCTATGGGGGACACGAAACGTGTGAGGAGTGTGCCAACGTGGGCGCGGTGGTGCCATGCGAACGCATCCGCTGAGGCCTTCAATGGAGCTCTTTATGGGGCTACGGAACGTTTGAGGGGAGCCGAAGTGGGCGCGGTGGTGCCGTGGGAACGCTGGGCCCTAGGGTGGAACTCCCAATGGGGCCACGAAACGTGTGAGGGGTGTGCCGACATGTTTTACAGCGGAAGGGGAAGGCAAGGATGGGAGAAGTGGGAGGAAGATGGAGAGGAACCAGGAGTGAGACGCGAGGCTCTGTCCCTTCAAAACAAAGATCCATTACCACAGGATGGCTTGTCACAAAACGCGCTCAGAGAGCAGCGAGGCCAGGAACACCAACCAACCATGAACAACAACGCTTTTCCGTCGGCGGCGAAGCAGAGTTGGCTGCACCAGCGATAGAGCTAGACGGGGGCACGCGAATTGGCCAGCAAGCAAGAGTCCATGAACAAAAATACGCTGACAGAGCAGCGAGGCCAGGAGCACCACCCAAACATGGAAAACAGCCGCTGAGAGAACAGCGGGGCCAAGGGACACCAGCAAGAGCATCTGTTTTTTGTTTCAAACGATCAAAATGGGCGGCCTGGCTCTTCGCAGCATGCCATGACCCGCGACGTCATGGTTGTTCCATGACGCAGACCCCCAAGGTTCTGGACCCATTCTCCGGGACCCGCATCTCACCCTGGATCGTCTTTAGACGGTCCTGGGCCTCGCAAGGGCGCCCCGAGCGCGAACATTTGAAAAACATCTTCCATAGTGATTTCTTCACGACAAGAAGTGTTGCCCCGTCATCTTGCACCGTCCCGTCCGCCCGGCCCGCCTGTTAAGGTCCACCCGCCAGACCCACCCGCCCGTTAAATCGTCGGCGTCGTCGTCGTCGCCGTCATCTTCATCGCGTCGCTCACCCTCGCCCTCGTCGTCTTTGCACTCGTCGTCGTCGTCGTCATCGTCGTCTTGGTCGTCTTGGACGTCTTGGTCGTCGTACTCGTAGTCGTAGTCGCGGTCGTGGTCGTGGTAGCGGTCGTGGTCGTGGTCGTCGTCTTGCGGCGTCCCGTCCGGGCGACCTCTCCGAAGTAGGCGGGGGCGCTGATCGGTGTGGTCTGCACCGCGCTGTGGGCCGTGCCAGCCCGCGGTCGGCGCGGAGAGTTGCTGCGGCTGGCGTTCTTGCCTGAGCTGCAGGGGGGAGGACCCCCTCAAAAAAGAAGAAGAAGAAGAGAAATAAACATACCATAACAAAAACGACTATGATGATAATCATCTTCCTAATCATAATGATAATAATAATACTAATAATAATAATGGAATTCATTTCGGTGGCACATTCGGGGGGGCAGTTCAAGTGGGCAGGCCTCCTCAGAAGGCAGCGGTGCTTCTGAGAGCCCTCCAGCCTTCTGGCACGCCGTTTATGCATTCGGAATGAGCATGGGACATTTTTCGCAAAACTGGAGGCCTTCAGAAACTCCTGAAACAAAAAAACGTCCCTCTGCGTTGCCCCTTCGGCTCGCCGCCGAATAGTGCACATTGAGCACAAGAACGACATGTTAGCCAACATGGACTCCCAGCCGTCTTTTTCCATCATACTACGTGGTGCATTAAATGTGGTGAGCCGTACGATAAACACTATATGTGGTGCCAGTTGTGTGGTGCAATATACGTGGTGCAAGCTATGTGGTGCAAGCTGTGTAGTGCACTTCATGTGTACAACCCATGTGATGCAATTCCCCCTGCCGAACTTGAAATTGCCAACCAACTCCACTGCTCGCACAATCGCCCAACGAACCCACCCGCAACTTGGTTTGCGCAAGCCCTGCTGCGGTGATTGGGATGACTGCTGACCGCTGACTTGCGCATCGCGGCGGCCGCGTTAGCATGCGCATGCTCGCGCGCAGGGCGGCCAGCTAGTCAAGCGCCACCGGCGCGGCCGCTGTGGCGCTGACCGCTGGGGACTTCCCAGCGCGTCTCTCACGCCGCGCTGACGCGCAGGCACATCAGTGCGATTCGGTGACTCGGGCGCGCGCAATACCATGGACACGTCGACAAAAGAAGGCACGATGATACTACTAGCGATGCACGTGAAGAAATAGGAAAGTGACGACGTCAAGGCCAACGACGGCACCGATGTTGATCATGGCAATGGCGATGATGCCGAAGGATTTTGGCATGCGCGCGCGGCCGACGGGCGCAAGTGGCATGCAGTGCATTTTTGCGACAGGCATCGCGACCCCCCCCCCGCACGCGAGCAAGGGCGTCCGAATGATTCCGAAACGCGCGCGCGAGAAAGGTACGTGTGGTCAAATTTGATGAACCTGTTGGAATAAAAGTTGGTGGTTTCCTTACGAACTCCCAAAAACGCGCAGCCATGTTTCAAAACCATGCGTTTGTTACCCAACAACTGTTTTCGGGCGCTCGATTTTGAAATCCCGGTGGAACGTCCGCTTGATGACTGATTTTGACATGCGCGCGCGCGCGACGACGCGCGCGCGTGCGAGGTTTTGAGTACACGCATGCGCGCGCATCATATATTCTGACGAAGAAAATGGCGGGGGGCCCAGCTTGGCTGGGATGGTACGAGCTCAAACTTGGAACGACGATGGGGCCGGATCGTGCGTAAACTGCGCATTCCCTGGGTAGACCGATGACTTCATCCTCGGGGCAATGGAGAATCCAAGCTGTTTTCGATGAAGAAACATTCACGTTTTGCAATACATGCGGTCCGGTATATGTGGTGCAACTGTTTTGGTTCGCGATGAGTTTGCAATGCGTTGTCAACTCCACTGCTCGCGCAATCATCACACCCACTCACCCGTAATATGGTTCGCAAAACCCATGCGGCGGCGAGTGCGATGACTACTTGGCGCTGGCTGGCGCCTCGCTGCGGCCGCGCTAGGGCTCGCGCTCAGAGCAGCCGCCTAGTCTGGTGCGACCGGCGCGGCCGCAGTGGCGCTCGCCGCTGGGGACTTCCCAGCCCGTCTCGCAGGCCGCGCTTACGCGCTGGCACCTCAGCGCGACTCGGTGACTCGGGAGGGCGCGGCAGTATGGCGACGTCGACAACGGCAGGGACGACGACGATTGCAGCGATGCTTGCGACGACGGCGACGATGACAACAGCAGGGCCGATGACGGCGCCGATGCTGATCACGCCGATGACTATGATGGCGTCCACGCGTCGATGATGGAGGTCGTGACAATGTGCGCTCGCTGCCGACGGGCGCGAGCTGGCAGGCATCGTTCCCCCATCCCCCTAGCACGCGCGCAAGGGCGTTCGAACGATTTAGACATGCGAGCGGTTGGAAAGATTCGAAAGAGCGCGCGCGCAAACCTTGCTGGAACACCGATGTTGCAAACCAAATGTTTCTGCGTGCTTCTGGGTCACTCGATGTTGAAATGCGTGCGGCGCCTCAGGTTGTTGAACACTGTCGGCATGCGCGCGCGACGACGCGTGCGCGTGCACGTCGGTCCATCTGTGGCAGGGGGCTCGATGCACGAACGTGCGCGCATGACGCTTTTTGTTGTAGAGGGTGTTGGGCGTCGATGCCGCCTGGGCTGGGATCGCATGGCCTCACCTTGTATTGAAAGTGAACGATGGGGCAGGGGTTCTAACTTCTGTCGTTCCAAAGAACTGCGCCTGACGGGCGGTATGGCGGCTATGTAGCCGCCGTGCCGCCGCCCCATCGCCGCTTTGCGGCCGCCTGTTGTCTGGGCATGACGAACGTTCTGGCGGTTATGTGGCCGCCGGCCCCGCCCCGCCGCCGCCCGTCGTCTGGGAGTGTCTGTCGGTCTGGAGACCATGTTGTCGCTGTCGCCCCCCCGTCGCCGCGCCGCGGCTTCGGGCGAATTGCGCCGCATAGACTGCGCCACGCGACTTTCACCGCGTAGATTTTTCGTCCAGCAAGAATGTACATCCCCCCCTCTGGTTTTTCCTTTCCTTGAAGGGGTGCCATTTACATATGGTCGGGTCCTAACGTTCTCCCAACCAGGCCCGCATCCCCCCCCCACCCACCCCATCCCCATCATCCCGCGCACATCAAATAAAACGATTCGCCCGCACCCATGCATCACCAATCATCAATTTGCACGGCTCCGTTGCTGAGAAAATCCCTCGCGCGCGTCGTCGCGCGCGCATGACAGAATTCGTCAAAAGCCGTTCGAGATCGACGTCGCTAAAAACGTCGTTCAAAAATGCTATGTTAGGCAAGGCGTTCAAGATCGACTTCCCCGGACAAATCTGAAGAACATGGTTTTGCAGCGCGGCGTTTTGTAACACATGCGCGCTTTTGAAAGTTCCGAAATCAAAAAAACATTGTACTTCAACGCGTTCATCAAATTTGGCCAAACGGGCCTTTAGCGCGCATGTCGAAATCATCCGAAAGCAAATGATACCTTGCGGGCCAATTGCTCCCGTCGGCCGCGTGCGCGTCGAAATTCCTCTCCAACCGTCATCGCCGAAATGTGGACGCCATCGTCGTCGCCGGCACGATCAACATCGGCGCGTCGTCGGCCCCGCCGTCGTCGTCGCCATCGTCGTCACCAACTCCAATACACTTGTGACCGTTTCTGCCGGAGTCGGCGTCGTCATGGTACCGCGCCCGCGCGAGCCTGCGCGCGCTAGCGCGGTCGCGGCGATGCGCCAGCCAGCGCCGAGCAGGCGTCGCAATTGCCGCTGCGCTGGATTTGCAAACCACGTTGCGGGTGGGCGGGCGGGGGTGATTGTGCGAGCAATGGAATTGACAACGCACGGCGAACAGAAACTAATTCTCCATTCTTTATTTATAAATGAATAATTTTTTCCCCCCAGCGTTTTCCGTTCCCTTTCGGGTACGTAAATCACATATGATTCTGACCACATGTCCATCCTAACTATGAAATTGCACTATCCCAAGGGAACCGGTATCGCTCCCCCTGAGGTTCCCTGGTAAAAAACAATACGCAGGGACATGTTGCGTGTTTAAAAAAATGTTTCACGAATCCCTTCCCCCCAAAAAACATGACGAATTGCACACGCGCGCGTCGTCGCGCGCGCATGTCGAAATCCTTCAAAAACCTTCCGTGTCGGAAGGATTTCGCTATCGAGTTTCCAAAAACCTACAAAAACACTGGTTTCGCAACACTGCCTTGCTAAAAAAGCTTACGCGCGAGCTCTTGCGAAATCTTAAGAAAACCATGAGTCTTTCAAGATTTTCACAAAATGCTTCCAAACGGGCTTCGCGCGCGCGCATGTCGAAATCTGTCGAACGCCCTTGCGCGTGTGCCGTCGCGAGAATCCTCTAAAAAAAAAGCAGGACGAAGTGCAGACGCGCGCGTCGTCGGGCGCGTATGCCGAAATCCTTCAAAACCCATCGGTTTCGGAAGGATTTCAAAATCGTGTCCAAAAAACCTACAAAAACATAAGGTTTCGCAACACGGATTTCCAACAAAAGCGTGCGCGCGCGCTCTTGCGTCGTCGTCGTCGTCGTCGTCGTCGCCGTCCTCCCTCCTCCCGTGTCGTCGTCGCGGTCTTCGCCTACGTCGTCCTCTGTCTTTCCTCGTGTTCGTCGTCGTCGTCCTCTTTGGCGTCGTGGCCGTTTCCGTCGTCGTTGTCGCCGTGGTCGTCCTTCCTCCTCCTCCCTCGTCGTCGTCGTCGTCCGTCGTCGGCGTCTCGTCGTCGTCCCTCCTATTTCGTCGCCATCGTCGTCGTCGTCGTCGTCGTCGTTGTCGTCGTCATCGTCTTCCCTCCTCCCTCGTCGTTGTCGTCGTCGGCGTCGCCGTCCTTCCTCCGTCTTCGTCGTTCGCGTTGTCGCCGTCCTCCCTCCTCCCTCATCGTTGTCGTCGTTGTCGTCGCTGTCGTCGTTGTCGCCGTCGTCGTCCTCCCTCCTCCCTCGTCGTCGTCTTCGTTGGCGACGTCGTCGTCGTCTTCGTCGTCGTCGTCGGCGTCGGCATCGTCGTTGTCTTCGTCGTCGTCGACGTCGGTGTCGCCGTCGACGCCGCCGCCGTCGTCGTCGTCGTCGTCGTCGTCGTCGTCGTCGCTGTCGTTGACGTCGTCGTCGTCGTCGGTGTCGCCGTTGTCGTCGTCGTCGGCGTCGTCATCGTCGTCGTCGTTGTCATCATCGTCGTCGTCGTCGGCGTCGGCGTCGTCGTTGTCTTCGTCGGTGTCGTCGTCGTCGTCGAAGTCGTTGGAGACGTCGTCGGTGT